GCGGGGGGGGGGGGGGCGTTAGAAATCCGTGCCATGTAGGTTGACTTTTCTTTCGGGAAACAGCAAAGAATACAAACAAAAGTGGGAATTGTTTCTGGAGTAAACCCAAGCAAAAACCCGCCGAAACTGATATCACCATGGAGATGCTTATTAATTTGTCTTCGGGAAGACAATTTCACTATTGGTCGGAAAATTTGGAACTTGACGGTTTTTTGGCAAAATCTAAATCGAATGACGGCTGGATTGTTGTTACTGTTATGCATAGCAGGAAGGATCCACACAGTTTACGTCTCTCATTGAAACAGCTTTTAAAGTAGCCTTTCCGAAGAATTAGTGTGCTACCAACAAGACCTTCCATGGTCTGATGCCTATGATTCTTGTCGTCAACTTTATTTAGTTATTAAATCATCTCAACTGAAGCCGAGATTTAATACCTGTGTTTTAAAATTGTTTTGATGGGACACCTGCACGGTGTGATTTTTCAAAAAGCAATTTCTTTGCACACTGCGTCTTCCAAAACATGCTCTGCCAAAAAACGTTGCAACTTTTCCCAGCCTGATTTCATTTCCAGCCTCAGTTTCCGAGACTAATGAGAGACAGATGAGATGCGACTTTTTGATCATTTTTTAAATCAATCTCGAGCTTTACTACCAGCGTGGGTTTCTTCACTACTTCGTAAAACGCACTTTTAGCGTGCTTTAGTTATACTAATTGCGCGATTTTTAGCACAAATGGAATGCATCCCTGATGAAGAACGCCCACATTTTACTGGGGTGACTGCTATAAACGAAAATACATCATAGGGAAGCGGACTTAATTGTCATAAACACAAAATTAAAATTAAAATTAAAATTGAAAATAGAAGTTAAACTTCACGTGGCGGTGCACATTTGGATGGCGTTTTTGTAAACATTCATTGAACATAACAGATATCTGAGTAATCACGATCATGGACATTTGAATTTGTTTAAATCATAGGGTCCTGTAGGGTCTGCAAAAGCATCGCATCTTTATGAAACCAGTTGAAAGGAGGGCTAGATCTGCTGGTTTTTTGGGTTGCTGAATTCTGAGATATTTCCCTTTACTTGAGTCATGAAGTGCCCGCCAATAAAAAGTGCAGTGTGGACAACGTGCATCACAACGTGCAATTCTCTGGCAAATACTCAATTTGTACCATGTCCATTGGCGTCCCTTCACGAACTGGACGTCTGTCCCCAATACATTTAGGCAAATCCAACAGATTAGCTACCTTACTGGTAACTCTGTAAAAGCTTTCTTAAATTAATTCATTTCAGATGTATTTACTGGTGCTCTTAAACACCTCAGTAAACAGTTCATATCGTGGTCCTGTCTATTTTGTGTACTTGTAACAACCTCAATGAGTTAAGAGCGCAACACCAACTGTCCGTGTTTCTAAACCGGCTGCTCAGGTGGGTGCATTGCAACTGATCATAATGCGTTTTTCATGAAAAGCGATTCCGTCAGTTAATAAACCGAGCTCAAACAGCTAGAAAGAGAGTGGGTCCTTTCGAGCATCGTTGACTGAAAGCGCATACCTGTCGGGGCAATTTCAGGAGGACGGATCTGCCTCCAGAACTTGACTTTCACCTGACTACCTACTGCAGCACTTCCGTGAACTCCTGAACACTGTCGTCTTTACAAAGGCTTGAAAAGGTGCAATAGCAAATTCACTGACACGGTTAACCAGTTCACGAGCATACTTGTCTGGTTTTTGTATGTCCAGCCATATTACTAACATTGCAAGCGTATTTATGTAAGATCAACTTATCACACCCAGAGCCCTCTGATTACTTCACACCTACGATGCTGAAATCTGTGTTGTTTTTCTCAACGATCCAGCAGCTGGATGGCTCAGCCAGCCATCTTCTTCCGGAAATACTGGTAACTCTTAACGAAAGCCAACATTAATTCAACATCTAGTAATTATTATTTACCATATCGCTTAGTCGTTTGCCAAATACCACTTTTGAAGCGGCTTACGACAGTGTTCTTAGCTGAAGAAATAAGCACACTGCTACCTTATGATGTTTGGTGTTTTTTTCTTTCAAAGGCCTTGGTGGACGTTAGATATTATTGCTCCTTTGGCATACCTTGTCGTCCCTTCGCTTGACTATTGTTTGGACGATTCTTTCGAAAAAAACAAATGTTTTAGACACCATTGTAGACTTTTTTCAAAGGTAGGGGTTGGGTTGGGCAAACCTGGCTTTCTACAGGCGATTTCAGCAGTTAGACTCAGTTTACAATTTCAGGTGTCCGAAATTAAACGACTACTCCGGTGTTCTTCAAAAGCTATCTCCTATAAGTTTAGACCCTTCTTATTCTCGATATTTCAAATTCCAGATATGTCAATGGCGTAGTTTTTGGCTATACCCGTAACATGCCAGAACGGAGAACAAGCAGGACTTTGGGTCTACGGAGCATCTGACATCAATCAGAGCCATAAAGTTTCAGGAATTAGGATTTCCATTCGTCCAAAGGAGCCTATATGACAGTTTGTTGGAAAACGCTTTTTCTTACTGTAAATAAGCCTTGAGTTACAGGGTACTTCACAGCGAGGTACTTAAAACTAACCAACTAACCTCATGTGATTTTTCTGAGGCTGAGAGCACGTTGAAGGTACCAGGTGTCAGTATTTTAAAATTCGCTCCCTCAGAAGCGGGTCTACTCTTTCCTCATTGTGGTCTCTGAACATTTTGAAATGCTCTTCGATTCATTGTTTTGGTCATCGAAGTCTGTTCCCAGCTGATGTGGTGTGTGCAGGGGTCAAAATGCAACATATGTTATTGAGAAGATCGCCTGAGTTTTCTCTCACTTCATACATGGCCTGTAGCCACAATGCGTGACTCACGGCGCACGTGGTGGGCATGTGGTGGAATAGGAGTTGCAAAATCACAAATATTCATCAGTCCACTTCGTCCAGTGAGCAAAGTGCCTGAAAAAGTGTGGTTTACTGCGTTCGATATTGGAAGGAAGTTAAATGGTTGCGGAGAGCACTTAAGCTCTCCAGTGATTTGACTGAAAATGTAATTACGGTGAGTTGAATGCCCCACCATTCTGGCAGCGATCATCACCAAATCACGCTCCTCGCGAGCGCTTTGCACGCTCACCTATCCAACACATTTTGTCTGTGAGCAATTCCAGTTCGGTTGTTCCTATATTTTTCACATCTGGTGCGTAGCTTGAACGTGAACTACGAAATCTTGAGCTGCTTCTGCGATGGCACACTTTTTCCGTACTGGTAATGATGATTTGGATGTGAACCACACTATTCAGGAAAAGCTGTGAATGAAGCAACTGTTACTAGAAAAAACATCTGTACAATGAATGAGAAATCAACTGAACTGTTTATCTTTTGTTTTAATCTATGTTTATATTTTTCGTTCGTTTTATCACGTAACCGTCCTACATAAGTATTAACTTCTTATTTACAGGTTAACAAACAATAAATCTTAGTTGTTCTCTGTTAGACTTTCATAGGAACTAGATAATTGAGTGACTTCCAAACGGCGTCCTAAATGTGGCACAATATAGGACTAAGTAGTTTTCTGCAGGCAGTCACTTTAGGGTTTGTTAGCCACCAGAACTTATAAAACTAAAACAACCAACAAGATGAATGTGAAAAGATCTAAATACACTCTGGAAAACAGGTTTTACGTTGCTTACTGTCTCTCAAAATATACGATGACGATTGATGGTTGCATCAGAGTGGGTGGTGATGTATTTACCAGCAACTTAATGAAGGTTGTGCGACTTGTGCCACACATTATTTAAACGTAGGTTCGCACTTTCAATAAACGTAAACAACAGAAGTACAAAAAGGTGTTTTAATTAGAATTTCAGAACAGGGCTTATGATTTTGAGACATGGTAAAATTGACTGACGATTAGAGACTCCGTAGAGATGGCTCAGTTTACCTGGTTGTGCGTTATAGAAAGAAAGCGTTTCATTTGTAATTTCAGGCACTATGTGGCTTTAGGCTGCGTTAAGTTGGGTTATTTCAGTAATTTTACAAATTAGAGCATTCCCTTTAACAAGGGGAGCGCAGTGAAAAAACTCACCAGATCTGGTGCAACGGACTATATGCATAACTTGCTTGACGGAAAAAAATGTCGTTCAAAAATGCGCTACGGTGGCCCAGTTTGTTTACATGATATATTGTACTGAACTAAACACAACAAGTAATGAAAATGTATAGTTCAAACGGTACGTACAAGAGTTTTTTTCACGCTAAATAACGTCAAAGATGAGCAGTAGGCCGGGTGATAGCACACATCACAGAAAGCATTAGGATACATCTTGCGCACGTCTCACATGCCAATCCTCACAGATTTCTCCCTAAGGGAACTGAAACAATTGGTGCCGAAGGTGGCAAAAATCCTCTTACTAAGCCGGTTGCTCTAAAGAAGCGTGAAGCCAGGCAAAGCAAATAACTACCAACAACCAAAAGCACGTAGCAGCGAAAAACGGCTTAATAAGGAAGACTAGTGACAATCTTTTTTCCAGTTTCAAGTGAATTTGACAGAATTTTTCTACCCTGTTTCCAACCTTTTCAAGAAAATATCTCAGCTTCCAAGATATAAAAATCTTGTTAGAATAATGCAGGATGTCAGTGAATATAACATCCAAATAGTAACATCTTTTTGTCCACCTTATCTCATAAGAGCTTGTCAGAATTGTCGTTGGTAGGTTTTCTGAGTTATTGTGACTTCGTTGAGTGAGCAGTTAATTTATGTAGGATCTCCCGTGCTAGCAAATAACACAACACTGAACATTTCGTCCTGTCAAAATCTCCGGGTAGTATTACTTCGGGCATCGCTCAGTTAAAACATAGGACTTGAAATTACTCGAAAATCCACTGTAGTTGTTTCATTTCTTCAAGTGTTCACTCCCCGAAGACCTTCTGAAAACTAGTCAGAGATGCCACACTACCACATTTGCCCTATTCCTCTTGAATCACTGAGTAGGTTTCCAAATGTTTTGAAACATCTAGCCAGGGCGGAATGCGATATTTTGCTGATACCTCAGTTAGGCAAGTCAGCATTCACATCATCCTTTCCGTTTGTACAGTAGTGGGCCGCAGTGAAGTCGACCCTTAAGATATAGAGTCAACCTAAGTTAGTTTTTTGCCCGTCGAACTTGTATCAGCTTCACTAAAGTTTTTTTAACCCTTTAATGAGGATGTTCGCCTGTACGCCATCAGGCTGTGTTCATAATCGTGAACTTCATCTACCAATGTTGGCGATAAGGGCTCGTTCGCTCACTCCGATCGATATGATATCATAAAAGTAAGACCAAAACAACTTGTCATAGATTACACTGAATCGACCTAGGAATGGAGCATTAAGTTATTGGTGGTCATTTTGGGGGGACAAAAATGGTGTATTCAGAATCCAGCCGACTCTTTGTGTTCATTTTTTTCAACTTACTTCGATATCTACATGTTCGCAAACTTCTGGGAAGCCGTCCATATAGTCTGTCCTTAACAGTGTTTTCGATTCATCACTGTTTTATAAGTTAATTACAGTATATTGTTTTCCATAACTAAGTGGAAAAAGAATTTATTATCAAACTCCACCAGGTTAATTTGAGTAGCGACTATTTCCAGCAAAGATCGTTCTCTCGAAGTGTGCTTGAGTTGCCGTTTTTCACATTACTTTAAATTAACCTATGCTGCGTTTTAAGTGAATGTCCTTGCTGTAGAGCTGTATTCTACAAGACTGCTTGAGCTAAAGCCTTCCTATTGCCCCTACAGTAGTCACAAATGAGAGTTCGCTGTCCCGTCTACACTGTACTTGCTAATCACCGACGGCCATTTTAATTGACCAGCTGGTGTGTTTTAATTGTAAATCTACGTGCGTAGCCATCGCCACACCAGCGGCCGAACAATTAATCAATTAATTAATTAATTAGCCGGGATTTTCTGGTTCAAGACTCGCGGTTCGAACCCGACCCCTTCCTCCCGAATCCCCATGTCTAGGCCTTGGCAAACTGGCAGTATACCAGTCATCAAGCCTCCTTCAGGTAGCATGGCAGCTAGGCACCGGTAGGGTGTTACGGCTGAATGATTTTTATATATTTTTATTTGTATAGGCATTCTTGGCTTTCAAGTATGCACAGGCTTTAATTACGGGACGAACTCACTAAAAATTCACAAATCTCTCCATATTGCCAACAAATTACCGATGTCTACTCGGGGCTTCGAATACCAATCCAAGGTTTGGTTGAGGACATATTCATCTAATCTATGGGAAGATCGATGTGACAGAAAGACCGGGGCATGATGAGTTTGATGGTCTTGGGAAAGCGCCTTGACATTTTCAAATATTCTTTGCTGTTTCAGCTAACTTTGGGATACGGTAGCAAGTTGTTTGTGCACATACATGCCTTGCTGTGGTTGTAAAGTGAATAGTCGCCCTAATATTTTCTCTGCGGGTGTCAACCATGATCCGTCTAACATTTTCACTAGCTGCAGCTGTCACTAACGTCCTGTGTTTCATTCCATGGTCATGCTGCGCAGGCAACCCATATGTCAGGCAAACCTGTGTAGCTGGCATTGACACGTGGCGTGTAAGTAAAACAGCCCAGGACAACGGTAAAACCATCAGCGTTAGCATTTTCACAAAATTTCATTGTTTCCTTCCGACATTGGGATAAAACGGGTGCGGTTTAGAGACGGTTCCTTCAAGGTAACTGACCTTCCGAACACTGCTCCCCGCCAAAATTTGTTGTGTCACAGTCACACGTGTGTCGATTCCATCCAACCGAGCAGATCCCACCGTTTTTGCAACCTTCAGTGGCGCACCAGTTGAATGTGGTGGGTGGGTAACAGTGAAGGTGAACAAAACCTTCTGCCCAGCAAGCTCTCATTTCCAAATCGATATCCCACAACTCATTGTTAACCCTGAGGTCCCCGATGCAACCGACGAAATCCTTGTTCAGACGAATCGACCAGACTTCGGGAGAGATTGCAGAGGAAACAAGTCGTATTGAGTTTGGAACACCTCCAATGTAGAATATGCCATTGAGGTTGAGATATTTGTAACTAAAATGGAAAACATGGTAGCGAAGTTTAGCCTCTTTTACTTACAGTAAAACAGTTTGTGAGGTCATAAATACACCAAACGAACAGGAAGATAATGAAGATTATCATACTCCAGGGCAAACTTCGTACAGAATTTTCAATTGTACCTAGAGAATGTCCGTAAATTTGAATCTTAAGACCAGCAGGGAATTAACCACGATGAAATAGGCCTTAAAATATCAGTCGCGCGCTGCAAGTGAACACTGCTCAAAAGCTGAGAAGCACTGTTGAGCCGACTTCTAGCTAGCTGCTAAGTTATCTGGCTGAGGGATCATCATAATCGGCTAGAATACCGTTGTATGCACTTCTGACCAGACTGTTAAGCGTGATTTAGTAGGACCAAACGGATCAAACCAACCACCAATATGACTGGCATGGATAAGACATCACTCGATATTGAAACAGAAAGGCACACAAAAGCAAGCTTGTCCCCAGTCATGCGCACTCGCCAATCTCAATAATTCTCCAAAAATTACCCGCTCCCAGACTAGTTCGCTCACCAGCGGTCGGTCAGTTTTGTGAAAATCTCGCGCTTAGACAAGACCTCGAGTTACTCATATTTCAGCTATTAAATTCACACCACTTGTTCACTTGTTGGTTGGATGTACCAGTAAACACATCCCAGGTTCATAGGTCATGAGATTTGTTGTCTCCTGTTCTCTTAAAAGATCTTTGGAAGAAAGTGACTAGAAAATTCCAATCCGGATTTTAACGTACAATCGAACTTAGTCCATGTCCAGCAGCGTAATTAACGCAACTCCCCTTTTACCACACTTAAAGATGTTGAATCCCCATAATCCTGCAAACAAATGCTGTCAAACATGAATGTACGGAGCCGCGTGCTAACCAGTCATTCAGAAGTGAAGGTGGCTTGTTTATCCATGAATATATCGGTTGTCCATCCATTCTCATATTTGCTGGCCAAAACGACAACTGGTGTTATCGAATGTGTGATGTGCGACAAACTAATCCTACGCGTAATTCTACCATTATATGCAAATGCGGATCTGGGACCACTAGAATATAAGTGAAGGTAAACCGTTTCCTGTTTCAGTACCAGTGTCTAACGTCCATATAGAAACTAAGATGTAGTAAATTCGTCGACATTTTGGGATCCTTTATTGAACTGAAATTCATTTACCCCTAACACATCAATTATGGCTAAAATGCCACGTGATTCTGAGGTTTAATCATACGTCCAACGACCAGGTGTGCATGCACAGAACGTGTACAAATTCCTTTTGCCAGCTGATTGGGGCAGCTACTGGTACGTGATAAATGAATTAGAAATAAAACTTATTGCTAGTCGTTCAGAAAATATAGTTTACTTTCTCAGAGACTCACGACGTCTTTTCCACGATATAAGAAATATAACTTTTGTTGTCCACTTTGATCAGCATGCTCCCTTCATGAAACTTCACATCAACATCATGTATCTGACCATCGGTGAGGACAGACTTTGAAACCTCTCTGCTTATATGATCAGTGGGTTCCAGCTGAACTACGCCCGATCCACTGTTCACACTTCCCACAAGACGGCCTTCTCGAAGTTCCAAAGCAATTATGTCGAATCCAGCTTTACCGGCCCCCGGAATAGCCGGAGTGTAAGTCGCGATATCTTGCGCCTCCAGCAGGTCATATTCATGTACCGATGAACCATAAAGAAGCAAACCATCAGGTTCCGTAGTCTGCATTTTGAAGGATAGTTCGGCGGACGATACGACTCGCCAGCCGGATGTTCGAAGGTATCCACCGGGTTTTGAAAAGGTGACGAACGTTGAGTATCGACTTCGAGTTGACCATTCCGAACTTTGGGAGATAGGTGGAGCAAGAATTCGGGCGTCACATTCTTGTCGGATTTCAACTGTGTTAGGCAACTGAACCTTCACCAATTCTGTATTCTTCATTGAAACCAAGGATGTTTCTCCCACCGGAGACCTAACTGCAAGCTAGAAGGTGAACGCGAAAACAAAATGATCTGACGACTGCTGCAGTAATAGTGACAGAAAGAACATTCATGGAGTATTTCAAAAAAGGCATTTGACCACGTATTAATTTGTTATGCACTGACCCAAACCAAATGGTTAATTTTGGAGGGTAGCATTTTGACTTTGTCTTCTGGTTCATTGGATGGCAGCTTCTGACAGAAAAAGACCTCCTGAATAGGCTATACAGTTTATTAATTTCAGTTGTGTTTTCGGGTCCACTCAACTGCATATTTAACTAGACAGTTCCATCGGCGCCTATTTGATAAATCCTGATAAAACCGATCATTATGTTTTACTGAGATTTTCGGATAAGTCTGTGTCTTCCTCTCAGTTGTCCGCTCAATCCAAAGTCTATGACTTGCTTCCACCCGAGAACCAACGCAAATCGCATAATGTGTGGACAACCACCAGCGGTTATGCAGTACTCCACACATACTTGGTTAGAAATTGCACATTTTGCCTGTCCACTTTAAAAAGATATCTGATTAACGAAGGCGTTTTAACGGCTTTTGGACTGTTCCTTCTTGCTCACTGTTTGATCCCATTCTTAACCGAAGTAAAGAGCCATTTTGTGATCGCATATGCAGTGCAGCAAGAAATACACACTCGTTATCACCGAGCTTTTATATCACCAGTGTTTTTATTTCTATCGTGTTACTGTCGAATGTTTAATATAGGTTCACAATTCAACGATTTTTAAGGTTATGAATTCTTAATGCTAATCAAAATTTGTTGCTGAGACTGAATTAATAAAAGTGTTTGACTGTAATGGGAAAAGTGTGAAAACCTAAAAACCTGATAATTAAAAAATAAAAACCATGGGGTGTTAGTGAACATCTCATTTAGCCAAGCTGAGGTTTTCCACCATAGATGTGCGTATTTCGGTACCAATCTTTGATCCAAATTGGCCCAAAACCGCCTTCTTGCAAACCCGTCGAGTGAAAGTGTCGCCGGGTGTGTCAAAATTAAAGGCCTATTAATAAATACCGCGGAGCTTTGGGCTTCAGTGATAAGTACGGGTACTTGGCTGAACGATTATCTAAAATTTGATAGATGCCACATTTTCCTTTATATATGCTATCATACTGTTCACCTTTTGTACCAAAATAGCGAACCTGACTCCATAATCCAGAGGTTTGTGTAACTTTCGGCAACGTTGACGAATATGATGGAAAAATTCGCCCCATCACTACACGAAAAACATCAGGAATTGTTCTTTCTTTTGGGCGATTTGCCCACGCACACAAGCTGAATGTCTGACGTTTGTCCTCATCACGAACAAAAAGGAGATGCTTACTGACACGAGGTTATGCACAAAGACCGGCGAGCACGAAAGTAGGAACTGTTATATGGGACACTTGTGGATGAAATGGACGGCTATTTTTAAACAATGAACGCTCACATGAGTGGAATATTTACTGGCAGTTTTATCCTTCTGTGCCCTTTAATATCTTGTTGGCAAATGCTCAAAAACTTCCACTTGTATTATAGAGGCCTTTGAGAACTGTAGCTTAATTATGCGAACAATGCTCATACAGCATGGGTATGCCAAGAAAAAAATTAAAAAAGAGTAAATTAGTAGTTTCATAGTACAGTCCAAATTTCATACTCGTGAGCATCAGTGTTTCCTAAGAAATACGTCTTTCAAGATCTTTAATATATTAATATAAACAACTCTTAAGAATTTAAATTAGATCAGCTTAATGAGGGTTACCAAACACACTGCACAAGTGTGTTCAGATTGCTGGTTTGATCTTAACGGGTTGCGCAAACTTTAACATAGACCCACTCTGATTTTACACTCGCAAACGGACACTAAAATTAATATGTGGACTGATAAGGCAAGCGACAAATAACTTTGTGAAGAGTGTCTTAACATCCATGCATTGCAACCTAGGGAGCAGTCTTTTTATTGTTAATCTGTAGCCAGGACGGTAAAGCACGGAATTTTCGCCAGAGGTCTGTCATACAACTTGGAGCGTTTCGAATATAATGCCTGCTAGTTGTCCTAAGTATGGTCAGCTGAACGGCCAGATCGACTCCTGAACAGTGGCGTTCTTAAACGAGCTTAGATCAGCAGCATTCGATGCACCCCCAAGTACAATATGCTAAGTTGAACAGTTCATGGGAAACCAATGAAAACCAGCAAACTAACCGATGGACGGAACCAGAACTTGAATATCTTGAGTCCATAGTAAGAGCAGGCTTGTATCAGACGACGAGTGGAACAACTACCGCAGTGACAACTATTTGTTATAAATTCAGACGCTTCCGTGTTGAGGTGTCACGTTTCCGACCTATTCTCTGTCCAATAATATCAGCGAACAATTAACCACCGAGCCCATCACAGCTCTTGCAGTGCTTGCTCTAAATTCAATAACTCCTACTCAGGTCTTGGTAATGACAATCCATATTCCCTGAATCATTTTGGTAGCAGCTGTCAAACATATTGACACCACGATCTTTCATAAGATGTAACCTCCCGACCTAAATGCATTCTAGCCAGGCAAAATCCATTCCAATCCCAGTAAGCTTCAAATCTGTAAGACTTCAAAGTAGTTTCTGGACGTAACTACCTTCCAAATACAAAAAAGATGGTTCCATATAAGCTGTTGCTCTCAGCAGCTACTAGATGGCATAGCTGTTTGTACTATTCACAGTTCGTATACCCTATCCAAGTGCATTTCGTTGTAATTCACAGGTTGCTTATCTGGGGATCACCAGCCTCCAAAATCGCCAGCAATTCACATGCTTCACGAAGTTTAGCTGACTGAGATTAGTTGTTTTGATACCTTCAAGAAAACAGTTCACTACGGAGCAGTACTCAATAAATTTACCTTGGTACACTTGCAGAAATATCGCGCATGTTGACTGCATTTTATGAGGTTCTCGACAAGAAAACGGGCAGAAAAGCAACAGATGTTCGCATGTCCTCAACATTCAAAACTATGCTTTAAGCGTTCTGGAAGCATCTAACATAAGTTTATCAGAAGCAGCGTTACTGATATGCAATTCTTTGTCTGAATGAGTGCGGATAAAATCAAGGAGAAAAAGAAGCTATTTGGTGACTCTTCACATTAGCCAACACCACACAGAGTTTACCATCTACGAAGGGTGTCCCTTGACATTTATTCCTGCTTAAATGACGAAATTCAAGGCATACCAACTAAAGACATAATGACCCAGCAAAGTCTCAAGGAAGTTTTACACAACAATCCTTTATTATACCCATTGCTTACATGTGCCGTGAAAATATGTATGGGTCAAAGCTTATGCTGACGCTGCTACATGGTCTACATACTGTTATAATGGGCGCCAGTCAAAAGGTTAGATCATTCATCTCGCAGCACTTAAGTGAGTCGATTCGCTCATTTGAGATTCCTTCTTATTTTCGAATGGTTGTTTCGGTAGTGAATACGCGCCAGTGGAAGCCGTTTCCTGATGAATATGCTTAGTGTTGACGATTCCGATGGCAATTAAATGGATGAAGCCGTCAGGTAGCTACTCGGCGCACTTCCTAAGTGCCAATTTCGTTCTAGCTCTGGGTGGTAACAAATAGACTCAAACGATCAACGTAATCGCAGTATATCAGTCTATTTATAACCCCAGGTTCATTATCAATTTTCGTGCGCGAAATTCTCTTAATGAAAAAAATTACAATAATATGTTTGGAACTTTGAATTTTCATTAGAGGGTGCCAAAAAATGCTGATAAAGACTTGCAATCAGCATTTCACACTCAGAAAGAAGCTTACCGAAGAAAACCAGGTTCCCTAAGTGTATCATGAAGTGGCCGCATAATCTTCAACGATTCAGTTGGAGTGCACGACAGCCTCTTACTTGACTGGAGATGCAGCTTTTCTATGGTCGATATAAAAAACAAGTTACCAGTGATGTGCCCCACAAAGAAGCTGCTCGGTGTTCAGTACTAGGAGTGAAAAGTTATGCACGGGTGTCAGACAAATTCGAGGAACATCTTTGTCAAACTTCGTTTTTCAGAGATTCTGAGAGTACATGCTGATTCCTCTCAAGAGCTGGAATAAAATTTTGAATGAGATAGTCAGAAAACAGAGCTTGTAAATGAATCCGTCTCTCGCGCATTCAACATGATTTAGTTCGGCAGACATTTGCCTATTAGGTTGTTTCTGAAGCTTTCAGGTAGTTTGTCTGGCGGTCAATCTTAAAACGTACTTCTTATTTTTACCAACGAATTTTCGTGGCTCAAACGGGGTAAAGTGGAGTAAATGGTTCATTGTAACTTAAACAGCCACTCCAGATAATGACACGACTTGCTTACATGACGAATGCAGCCACGGAATTGTCGTCGGGGTAAGATAATACTGCTGCCAAATGTAGTAAACTCGGCTGAAGGTGGGCTACGAGCCACATAGATTTCTTCAATCGAAAGCTGCCCTGTGGAATAAGGAAGCGATTGTTTGACTTGTGGTTTCCCGTCAACACTCAGAAGGACCTGAAACTCAAGAATTTAGAAAACAATGAATTCGCTCGTGAGACATAAATCCGAGGCAGCGAACATTTATGGACTCACGGAAACATGTGAATTTGTATAGATTGGTAGCTTGCCGGTTGCGATAATAGTACGTAGTCAGCGTTCAGGTGAGTAGGTGGCCGCCTTTTCATGATAGCAGTTTTACTGAGGCAGAAATATAAAGCTGACTCAAATCTGCCCAGTGGGGGGTCAAGCGTGTGTCATGCTACCTGACTGGGAAGTCCTGACTGGCGGGTCAATCGATCGTCACAACCAGGAGAGTTACTGGGTCGTCGTTCGATGAGTCGGGCACACCAATCACATTGCTCAAGTGTGAACACGTTCGCCTGTTCAGACATAATAATTCAGGTGCGTTGATGGAGTAGTGGTTACACGCTTGCCTCGCATGTCAGATGTCCGGGGTTCGAATCCCGGCACGGCCATTGGATATGCACTGCTGATGAGCTCTAATAAGAGCGAAACTCGAGTTCAGTGCTTCCCTTTGGTGTGGACTCACCGGAATAATTACGCCAGAACAGGAACACGGCCGTTCAGACGAGTTGTGTGGCTAGGAACAAAATACCTATCCCGCAAAACCCCAAAATTGCAATCAAATATAATCGTTTTGATTTTTTCTTCGTTTGTCCCAGTAAATCGAAGTATTAACCAGAGATATTTCTCGTTTCGGTCGCACTAAATCACAATGACCAAAGAAAGATTCGCCTTTTTGATAGTGGACAAATAAAATTGTGGCCTCAAAATACACCCAGTCATCTCACAAAAGCAGTAACATAAGCACCCACATAATCCTATTAATTATAGCACTATGTATGAGAAATTTAGAATGATGTGTTACACATCAATAACTGCTCTCCTGTCGTTGAACCTTGACTATAGCTGATTAAGCTGCGCGTGGCTAGTTTAAAAAACTGTAGTTTGGTCGTTCATGAAACTCACCGTGTTCTTCGCAAGTGTTTGTGTGAATTGGTGCCACTGTTTGTCGGCACACGTGCCGTAATTGGAAATACAGTCCATCTGTCGGTTGATGCTCATTGTCTGGAAGCTGGGAATGTCGTTTTGTACATAGCGTTCGACAGCTACAGTGAGACTTCCATTTAACAGGTAGACAGCCATGAATACTTGAATTCGGGTCGGATCATCTGCATCAGGAAGATTCTTGATAACTAAAATCCAACCGAAACAAGTGGTTTTATTTGATAAAAAAACCGCGAAAATTTCATTGCGTTTGCCAAAAATCTTACTGAATTTTTTGCGAAACTTTGCAATCTTTCAAATCCCGAGACTAACCCAGGTCGGTGAATTCGCACTGAGTATGGATGTGGACTTGAATTCTGAACTTCTCCTTTAACACCTTTCATCAATGGCAGTCTAACGGATTGTGTGAGGCAGAATATTTCACCTCAGAACATAGTATTATAACCCTACTTTTTGATAGTAGAATTTTAAAGTACTTAACTTGTTTTTCCATGAGTTGTGAGGTTTGTCTCAGCGTTGGAGTTAAAAATTAACCGCAGAATCGGTAATCACGACTGATTTTATATATGTGTAATAGTCGACAATGATAAATAATATTTGGGACAAGAAACCTCAGAATTCCCGAAAAATACTTTTAATTTGGAAATAAAAATAGACCTGATCAAAGAGTTATTATCAAGCTTTATGAAATTTGGGAAATTGGTGAACGACCTGCTGTCTGCACCGTTAAGCGCAATCCAAAATGCGTCAACGTTACACATTAAATCATGCCGGAATCTAATAGCCAGCTTTTTTCCTATTACGGAAGACAGGCAGCAAGACATACAGAAGGATTGGGGCATTCTCGCCTAGCGTGTCGGCTCATTATTTGTCTATCAGTCATTCTGTAGCATTCGTAAGAATACGCAATACTTTGCCTCTAATGAGGACGCAGCAGGTGCATTTAAGAAGCGATATTATTAAGGAATGGTGCGCTCCCAGCTCCGTTAAAAGGTGATTCAGTTGGGATATCTTATTAGAGTTGCTTCGTTAACATTTTCTTCACACTCCGCAGTTCCGCGGATTTTCTGAGCATTGCTAAAATAACCATATGTTTGGCTTTAGCAATATTCGGGGTTGAATAGACGGATCCGGTTGAAAAATTGGGACTTATAACCCGGGGAGTTTCGAAAACAATTTCGGGTAATCATCCTGATTGTTGCTTTGTGTCAGATGTAAGGTCAGTCATACTGAGGGCCTACGGTCCAATAAATCTGATACCCTGCTGTTGACGGTGAATTGCGTAAATCGGAAAGTGTTTGACCGAGCGCATTGCCAAATCTACCTACTTTTCTACTGTGTCTAAACCCCTTCCTTGAAAATTATGGGCCAAATGGAAGGTACTAATAGCTTACAGTGAAATTCATCCATCCGCTAGGAAGGCAATATTGTTTGCCTTCCTGTATAACTGTTTGAACTTATTATTTTCGATTTCAATGAAGCAACAACAAAATTCTAAATTTTCGCCCTTTGGCGAAATGAGAGTGGTCGCTGACCACGGCCGGTTGTCCCAACCCAGTCACAATTTTCGGAAACACCCAACAGTCACATGCGTTCCTAACGTTGTAATCGTGGTTGGAAACATGCTCGAATAAAAGACGTGCACAGGCTCTGGCTTACTTAGCCAGTGGTTTGAGTCACAGAATTGATCCCATCCAGTTTATCAACATATGCTTTATGTTCTTCTAGCTCTCGAGTGTGATATTATGAACACCAATTTATTTCATAGCCACATCATTGCAATGTGTTTCAATTATCAGAAAGAATGGGTTTTTGCACTTCACCGCTTTCGCAATAACAATATTCCCTTATGACAGCCTTTGCTTGGCTATAGTCACCTGTTCGTTCAGTGCGGCCAAGTGAAGTTAGTGGATTCCTTAGAGGAGCGTATCATGTTGCTGCTACATGACATTTTGACGAGAGGTTATATTTGAACCAGTACGGCCAAAGTACACAGACACTTTGATCTGCTCATCTTGTTCCTATATTTTGCACCGTTATAAACGCCGGGCACAAAATTTTGTGCGCTATATTACGAGAGAAACAGTGATCGTCCCTGAGCATTTTTGGCCATTACGGTATAATATAGTCATTTATATTCCTGAAAGACCCTTGAATAAGTTGGTTTCAAACGCTTGTTGAATAGCTTGAGCGAAGCACCATCAACTGTGGTTTAAATCATACTGACAAATGCTTTATACACCTTTGTGATTTTGACGATGCATATGCACCGTTTACTGACAAGCTTTGCTTCAACTGCAACGGGCTTGGTAAGCTACTAACTGTCTTTAAATGACGAATAAGAAAAAAAACACTTACCGGTGTATAAAAGAAGTTGGTCAGCTTCTCGAGTTCGAAACTGCACGGAAAGTCTATCATTCGTTTGGTTTGTTTGCATAATGAATGTCGTCCAACTTGAGCCGTCAAAAATGAGCGTATCTGATTTGCATTCTACAATAGGATAAAGAAATAAAATGGGTTCAAGCTGGGAAATGTCTGCAGCGATTTGCCCTATGCTGAATGTTAGTCATTCACATAGATTAAGCAAACAAATAAAAAAGCGGATACCTGGTGCTGATTGGAACATTGGGACTGAATATGTGCAGGTCATTTGGTTTTATTGAAACATGCTGGGTGGAAGAAATCCCGTCCATTCTGTTGTTAGGGTTGATTGACCCAACTTAGTCAACCATGATACATACGGGGTGCCACTGCTGCGCACATGATGATATCAGGTGAGCCACAGGACTGTATAAAATGCCTATATTTGTTGCAAAACTGCCTGTCCAATCGCATTTTGATCTAACGCCACTGGTTTATCAGGATGAAAGAATTTCTCTGCTGATATTAATAGAATCTCTTGTCTTTTATGATTTATTGGAATAAGCCTAAATTCGTTGTACGCATCCCGAACCTATTTTGATTTAGTAATCTCGGGGTTACATGGTTCGCTATACAATTGTAAGTAAATAATGGTTATAAGACCAAGTCAGAATTCACTAGTGCCGTATTGGCTAATATGCGAGTAAACACTCCAAAGGAACCGTAAATCAAAGGAAGAGCAAGAATACAAAATGCCGTGGAAAGTCCACCGGAAATGCCGAATGAACGAATCAGTCGAGCTTTTTGCGATCCTGTATTACAGAGCCATTAGATGGTCTGGCTGAAGAACCCCGTAACCTACAGACGAACAAATAGTCTGTCTACGTTAATCTACCAGGCAGAGAGAGATTGTCTTTTTTTGTAAAATCAGCAACAAGTTTGGCGTGTGTATTAGATAGCAATAATTATTCCAATCTAGGTAGGAGTGGTTCTTCATCACTAAACTTCACCGTTATCCTAAATGGGCTTCTCCTAGTCATTCAAAGTATGTAGGTAATTCTGCTGGTCGCAGTGATGATGAGTTATCGGAACATCTTTTATTGACATAACGTGTCTTAATTTGGGCCATTTTGGAAGATGAGGCACTCAACGAAATCCGGGGTTTCTCTAATTCAGTCAAAAGAAAGCTTTAGCGTTCCACAAACCAGGAAAGTAGAATTAGCACAACTTCCTTGAAATCGTCAAAAGTGCAACACATCTGTGGTTAATGCAGCCAGTCCCTTCAGTAAGATGAGATTTAAACCCTGAGATTATTTTTTAAAATATATGTAAACGGGAATTTTCATGTTTTCGAAAATGTTTGGTGACCATCGGTAGATGTGTTGGTGGGCTACGTTTCGCGTTTGACAGAAAATCTTCGTCAGGCCAAGTGACTAGGTTTCGAGGTTGGTCGAGATTCAAGGCGGAAGGAGAACCAGTCAGCTAAGTTGGGTGTCGGCCGAAGGATTTTTGTGTGTGTGAGGTGTTTGGGTCCGGCTTGGGGTCTAGGTTTTCTAATTCGGTTCATTTGATGGTCCCTCTCGAACGTCGTTTGAACTTTCTGTCCGTCTGTGTGGATGAGCTAGTGCTAAGATAGTTGTGTAAGATGGATGCTGTGACCTTTGTTCGGTTCGGAATTTCCACCCCCACCCCCAGTTTTTGCAATGATTCTACGTGGATTGACACGCATCCCGAACCTATTTTGATTTAGTAATCTCGGGGTTACATGGTTCGCTATACAATTGTAAGTAAATAATGGTTATAAGACCAAGTCAGAATTCACTAGTGCCGTATTGGCTAATATGCGAGTAAACACTCCAAAGGAACCGTAAATCAAAGGAAGAGCAAGAATACAAAATGCCGTGGAAAGTCCACCGGAAATGCCGAATGAACGAATCAGTCGAGCTTTTTGCGATCCTGTATTACAGAGCCATTAGATGGTCTGGCTGAAGAACCCCGTAACCTACAGACGAACAAATAGTCTGTCTACGTTAATCTACCAGGCAGAGAGAGATTGTCTTTTTTTGTAAAATCAGCAACAAGTTTGGCGTGTGTATTAGATAGCAATAATTATTCCAATCTAGGTAGGAGTGGTTCTTCATCACTAAACTTCACCGTTATCCTAAATGGGCTTCTCCTAGTCATTCAAAGTATGTAGGGAATTCTGCTGGTCGCAGTGATGATGAGTTATCGGAACATCTTTTATTGACATAACGTGTCTTAATTTGGGCCATTTTGGAAGATGAGGCACTCAACGAAATCCGGGGTTTCTCTAATTCAGTCAAAAGAAAGCTTTAGCGTTCCACAAACCAGGAAAGTAGAATTAGCACAACTTCCTTGAAATCGTCAAAAGTGCAACACATCTGTGGTTAATGCAGCCAGTCCCTTCAGTAAGATGAGATTTAAACCCTGAGATTATTTTTTAAAATATATGTAAACGGGAATTTTCATGTTTTCGAAAATGTTTGGTGACCATCGGTAGATGTGTTGGTGGGCTACGTTTCGCGTTTGACAGAAAATCTTCGTCAGGCCAAGTGACTAGGTTTCGAGGTTGGTCGAGATTCAAGGCGGAAGGAGAACCAGTCAGCTAAGTTGGGTGTCGGCCGAAGGATTTTTGTGTGTGTGAGGTGTTTGGGTCCGGCTTGGGGTCTAGGTTTTCTAATTCGGTTCATTTGATGGTCCCTCTCGAACGTCGTTTGAACTTTCTGTCCGTCTGTGTGGATGAGCTAGTGCTAAGATAGTTGTGTAAGATGGATGCTGTGACCTTTGTTCGGTTCGGAATTTCCACCCCAACCCCCAGTTTTTGCAATGATTCTACGTGGATTGACAACCACACAGTCACATGTCAACTTGGCTTATCTAAAACCGCTTTCCATACGCTCGCTAGGTCCACACCCTCGATTCTATTCACGCGGTGATGCTTAGTAATTACCACCTCCCCGACTTTCAGCCTCTGTGGTGTGAATCGCAGTCTCTGTCTTAAAACTTCCACATTCTCCAGATCTATTCCTGAAGAAACGGTAAGTGCACACACGATAGCCAGCAGTCACTTTGAAGGGGTCCATTCTGAAATTACAACATATTACCGCACTTTGAACCGCTGGGCTGTCTGAGCACATTTACATTTTATATAATGCAGTAGTTCACCTGAAACCACAAAAACAATAGCCACTGAAGAATGTGATACGGCATGAAAATTACATGTAACAAAATGACTTTGACATTCAGTGTAAGTAGATGGTTAACTGGGATCTGGGAGAATATCGGATGTCCTCACAGGGTTAACTAAGTAACCACTTAAGTAAAAAAAACAGCAGGCATTGAGGTTATCATAAAAATGTGGAAGAGAACTGACCGCTCATAGGCTCGTAAGTTATTTGCCATTTATAGGGGTACTCTGTTAAAAAGTTAAAATTAATCAAGGTTTATTGTTTATCTGGACTCAGAGCGCGCCAAGGACAATGAAAGTTTTAATAGCCACAATTTTGGTCGACAGTGTTCCTATTTTTGACCTGAAATTACTTTTGATTCTTTTTTATGTTCAACACTGAAATTTCAATTGAGACCGTCCTTGATGAGTCAATTCATTCTATACTGGAATGCCAAAAATCAATGTGTAATTCGTTTGTCCCAGTGAGGTCTGATCAACCTATTTGCACCCCACGAACATCTTGTGGGGACATCGCCAAATACCTAAGACCATAGATAACCGAATATAGGTGTTAAATGCTCCTAAAATGGATGCTGAGTCAAGCTGTGGTGCATGAGTCTTCCTCAACTTACTATATTCCAATGGAAGCTTTTCATGTGACTGCTGTAGTATCGAAGACCCGAGGCTGATATCAATTCTTTTGGAGCATTTGAGACTAAGCAGATTATTATACCATGCACCTCATTCCCACGATTCAATCTCGTCCGCTTTATAAATTTCCAAAAAATTACATCCAAGTGGACATCACCTTGTCACTCTTATACTTAATGTTGCATATATTCCTTTTCCGAATCGTTCTGACTCCTACATCACACAGTTTTACTACTTCCAAGTCGATCATGTAGGTTCATTGGCGCCACCTTTTGCTAGCACGTTTGGCATGCTGTTGGCAAAAAAACAATTTCTTCCTGACAAACAGGCATCGGCTGTTCTCGTGCCTTGGCATACCTGCCGGAAAAGCATGATAGGTGAACGCTGGGATTAATGTATTCCCCCGACTGTCGTCGCCAATGGGCACAACATGATTTACGAGCATTGCAGTTTCTCACGAGTCTAGTGTTGCCTGTTTGTCAATTCTCAGTACGTCGGTACTGCCGTATGCACCAGCCTAAAATGCTTGAAAATGTGGTAACGTTTTAAAAGGGTAGACGTTTTGCAGCAAACACGTGTGTATGTAGGAGTCACGATGAGTTCTGCTCAAGCTGGAACGAAACCAGGGATAATTGAACATCGTCACTACTGAGTCCTGCGAACATTTGTACACTGTTCATTAGGGACAGCAGGCGAATAGAGATATAGTTAATCGAATACACACTCCAATGAACTCGGTTTGAGATTGATTTAGTCCTTCAGCATAGCCAACTTGTTTAACGACCGCCAGCATTATGGTTAGCTTCACTTGGTTTTGTTTAGTACCCAAAAGTCATGGATTCCAAACAAAAAACAGTCCGTGAATCCCTGTGAAAAATGGGATTCAATTTTTTTGTTTAAAAACAAAGTTTTGATGTGGTACCGTTGGATGCTTTCTATTTTTCCTGAGGACATACCGTTATACCGATACAAATATCTTTATCATCAGGGTGGGAAAATTCGAATGACCTTGATAAAGTGCATGCTGAAACAAATCATCTTTGGATGCGGAAACTTGGGACTTAGTTTTGTTAAATTGGACATAAACATCACAGATCAGCGCTGTGGTGACAGCTTGTGCTCTCCTGAGTTTTCTGTACTAAGACACCAACTTACCAATTCCAGTTGGGATTTCACATTCATTTGTCTACTGAGAACTAAGTTTTATCGAAGTTAGTGCTTGTGAGCGCTTAGATAATTTTTGACTTGAATATTAAGGGTGGACAAAATATTAAAATTTATATTTCGG